ATGAAGGGAAGGAGCAGGAGCTGCAGCAGGTCGAGGGGTGGCTTTTTGTTTGTTTAACTGGTGAGACTTGGCAAGTTGCAAAGTGATACAGGTGTTGGAAAGGGGGCTGAAGTCTGTGCGTCCCCCTCCTGGTACGGCTGTGACGGCCACTCCCACCAGCAGGATGGAGGCTCCCCCTTGGAGAGGGGGCCCCAGAAAGATGCAGGGACCCCAGGCTCTGACGACAAGGGACGTGGGTGGGGTAGCAGAGGTGACTCTGGAAACAGGTTGTAGTGAAAGTCCACACGCCAGATGTGGGACCTCTCCCCACCGGCCCACCCTTTCCCAGAGTTACACACACGGACACACACACAGACACATGGACACACACACACAGACACAGACACACACACGGAGGACTCAGGGGAGATGGGTCCTCCACCGGGAAGGCCCAAAGGTGTGGACATTCGGAGGCCCCCGTGACCCAACAGTGAGGCTGTCAGCCCAGACAGGGAAGCACGACCATCCCACCCAGCGTCAGCGACACATGTAGAACTCGGAGGAGGCAGAGACAGCACGGGAAGGACGCGGAGATGAGCCGAGGGGCAGATGGGGACGCCAGGTGCCGGGTGGAGTCGCATGGGGCAGGCACTGAGGGGAGGAGACGACTGGGCACCGGGAGCCAGAGGTCCCGCAGCCGCCCCAGCCCACCCTCTGCCCTCCCTGCCTCACCCCCCTCCCCCAGGGACAGCCCTTTGCTGGCTGAGCTGCCAGGCGTGGCGATGCCTAGGGACTTGCTGGAATGTTCCACCCAGGGCCAGCTGCCTCATACGCACAGTTACATGTATTACCCCACTGCTGCCAAGCCACAATGCTGAGAGAGAGGAATATCGTGTCTCGTGTTACACATGAGGAAACTGAGGCCGAAAGAAGCTGAATAAAATGTCCACAGCCATTTGGCTGAGGCTGCAGAGCCGGGGCTTGGAGTCACCACGCCTCCCGCCCTGTCCCTAAATGACAAGCCATAGCGCTGCTGACGGGCCAGCCCGATGCTGGGCTGGGGGCAGCAGCCCTGGGGAAAATCCACTTTTAGGCGAGAAATGGCTTTGAACACAAAAGCAATCAGCTGAGAAACAAGCTGCACTGGGGCCGCCTGGTGGCCGACCTGGGAACTGAACCTCCAGGAGCTGTTTCCTCTAGACTGGATTTTCCGACTGGGACAGAGACCGAGTCCTTCTTCTGACAAAAACTTGGACCGGGCCCCTTTGAACAGCAGACAGTGAGCCACGGGCTAAGGCCTCTCCACCCTGCGGCTCCCGTCTGCCCCTTCACACACAATCTTCCGTGAGGCGTGTTTCCCGCTGCCCGCATCTTACACCAGCAGTGGCATCCAAGTCCCACCTGCTGTCTTCACTTCAGACCTCTCGGCGATGGTTCCCTCGTAGAAACACACGGGGCTGCCTCCTCTGCCTTAGTGACTGCGTGGCATTCCACCTCGTGTGTGTTCCACAGTTCATTCAACCATTCGTCCCCCACGGGCGGAGGACAGGACTGAGTCCAGCGCTTTGCAGGAGGGAACATTGCCAGGACAGACACCTGTGCGGGGGAGGGGAGTAGCCCTAGAAGTGAAACTGACATGTCAGCAGGAATCAGGAAAGCATGTTTTTAAATGGCGGTACATGGTTCCAAATAGCCCTGAAGTGGCCACCCCCACCAACAATGTGTGAGGTGCCTGTTTTCCTACTCCGTGGGTGACAGGTAGAAAGTGATATTTTGAGTAGTTATAATTTGCATTTCTCTTCTTAAGCCAAGAGCTTTGACAGGCATGTCTTAGGGGCAGGCCTTCAGCCAGGAACTCTTTGCATTTCCCACAGGACGCCTCAGATCACTGGGCAGAGGGCGATGAGAAGCTGGGACAGGTTCTTAATGCCAGCCACCCAAAACTTAGTGCCTTAGAAATAACAACCATGTCATTATCTCTCACAGTCCTGTGGGGGGCTGAGCTCAGCGGGGTGAGTCTTTTGCTGGTCCCTCGGGCTCTCGCATGCAGTCACAGGCAGATGGTGCAGGGATGGAGCCGCTGGACACTCGACCGTGATGCTGGCCCGGCCTCGCTTGTCCCCCAGCTGGTCTCAGGGCCTGTCCCTCTCCACCCGGCCTCTCCAGCTAGACTTCTCACCTGGTGGGGCTCAGGGCTCCCAAGGGAGCAAATGCCAAGCTGCCAGGCCTCCCGAAGGCCTCGTAGGACCAGGACTGGTGCAATATCACCTCCACGGCATTCAACTGGATAAAACGAGTCCCAGCCCAGCCCAGATGTGAACGGAGGGGAGTCCACAAGGGCATGATGTTGGGCGGCCATGCTCTGGGAGCCATCTCCACCCCCACAGTCTCAGAGTGTGATCTGGGTATTGAAAACCTTTGAAATACTCCTTGAATCAACACGGCAATTCATTTCCTCTCAGTAAAAGTCTCATAGCCGGACGTTCTGTGCCGTGACAGCTTCTGCCCTGCTGATCCAGCCAGCACAATGTTTTCTTTTGATTCCAGAGGTGAGTAGGAGCAGGTGGGCCTCTGTCACACCGGGTTTACATGTCCTGAGAACCACAGGGCCAGGACACGGTACCTGCACGATGGGGGGGGTCTTTGCTTCCCCCCCCCATGGCCTATGTGAGCTCCAAGCATGGCACCACCAGCTTGGAGTGTGGCATAAGCTCACCCCGAGCTCCCGTCTCCCTTCTGTAGACATCAGGGTGACACCAATAACCCTTAAGAAGTCCTGCCAGGCCGGGCGCAGTGGCTCACGTCTGTAATCCTAGCACTCTGGGAGGCCAAGGTGGGCGAATTGTTTGAGCTCAGGAGTTCGAAACCAGCCTGAGCAAGAGCAAGACCCTGTCTCTACTAAAAAAATAGAAAGAAATTAATCAGACAACTAAAAATATATAGAAAAAAAATTAGCTGGGCATGGTGGCACATGCCTGTAATCCCAGCTACTCAAGAGGCTGAGGCAGAAGGATCACTTGAGCCCAGGATTTCGAGGTTGCTGTGAGCTAGGCTGATGCCACAGCACTCACTCTAGCCCGGGGAAAAGAGTGAGACTCTGTCTCAAAAAAAAAAGAAGTCCTGCCAGCTCCGTCACTTTGTAAAACTCCCAAATCTAGGAGCATGTGTGAGGAGGCAGGGCAGTACCTGCCTGTGGCTTCTGTGCGGCCTGCTGGCCCAGAGCACTGGCCTGGGAACCGATTAGACCTGCTTCTCAGGTGCAGATCCCAGGCTGGGAGCAATGTGACTTACAGACTCAGTTTTTTCATCTGCAAAATGGAGCATGAAATGGTAGGGGTGCTGTGGAAAGCAGTCTAGAGTTCTTCAAATAGTGAAACAGATGTGTCCTAGGACCCAGCCTTCCAGCTCTTGGGTATACACCCAAGAAAACTGAAAATATGCATCCACACAAAAAAGTGAACATGCCCATGGATGCCAGTGTTATTCACAGTAGCCAGGAAGTGGAACCTCAAGTGCCCATCAGCCTAGAAACAGGACGTGTCTATCCAAAGGACTGCTATTTGGCCACGAAAAGGAACAAAGTTCTGACACAAGGTACTACAGGGATGAACCTTAAAAACATCACACTGAATGAAGGAAGCTGGACACAAAAGGCCACGTGCTTTATGATTCCATTGACAGGACATGTCCAGAACAGGCCCATCCACAGAGACAGAGCACAGATGAGTGGTCGCCTGGGGCTGCGGCTGCTGAAGGGTCGGGGTTTCTGTTTATAGGATAGCAACGGGCTCAAAGTACGCAGTGGTGATGGTTTCATAACCTTGTGAATATGCTAAAAACCGCGAATTGCACACCTTATAATGGCAAATTTGATGGTATAGGGATTGTATCTCAATTTTCTTAAGGGAGATAATCAGTCCTCCCTCAGAGCAGGAGGATCAAGGAAGATCCTGTATGGGAAATGCCTGACAGGGCTCGCTAAGTGGCCCATGTCATGAATACATTTTCTTAAAGCTGGCTTATCTGTCCTTCCACCCCAGGGCCTAGGGGATGCCCAATCCCAGGGACCAAGAACAGCCTGGGATAAGGGGAAATTTCAAGGGAGGGTTTTTGACCCTGGGTTGAGTCTTCCTCTGGCATCCCAACCCGGAGGCCCAAGTCCTGAGACATGGGGTGGCCAGATGCCCATTTCCCCAGGGCCCTCCTGGTTGATACTTGCTGTCCCCAACATATTAGGAATTTCACCCATCCTAGTCTCAAAGTCCAGTCAGCTCTCTGTATCCATGGGTTCTGCCTAGTGGGTTCAACCAACAGCAGACTGAAAATCTTCAGGGAAAACAATGGATGGTCACATCTGTACTAAATATGTACACTTTTTTCCTTGTCATTATTCCCTAAACAACGCAAAACCACCATTTATACAGCACTTACATTGTATTAGGTATTACAAATAATCTAGTGATGACTGAAGGTATATGGGAGGATTTTGTAGGTTATATGCAAATATTAAGCCATTTGAGCATCTGTGGATTTTGCTGTCCGAAGGAAGTCCTGGAACCAATTCCCTGTGGATTCAGAGGGACGATGGTTTACGCTCACCCAGGATGGCATCTCCTTGGAGGAAAGGCCCAGTTCAAGACAGACAGGGACATCCTTCCTGGACTATTGTCCCTTCCTTCATCCATTCACTCGTTGGTCCACTTCTGGCACTGTCCCTATTTGCATCCCCAGCAAGTGGGAACAACAAAAAGGACCAGCTTGAGCTGTCCAGCTTTGAGGTCTTGGAAGAAGTCGCTGCCAGTATGGAGTAGAGGGGTCGGTTTCCCTAGGATCCAGAGAGCATGCCCGCCAAGGCTCTATCAGAAAGGGGTCCCCGCCTAGCCATGACCCCCAGCAAGGGGCTGGCCACGTGGATGGCTTGAGCCATGAAAAGGGAGCCAGTGGGGTGGCGGAGGGAGCACTTCAGAGAGGGGCCCTCGGGAGTGCAGCCCCCCACTCAGGGTCTCCCCGCTGTGTTGCAGCTCCCCCCGGGCCCAAGCTGAGTGCAGACCAGCTGGCGCTGGCCTACAGCACGCTGGGGCTCTGCCTGTGCGCTGTCCTCTGCTGCTGCCTCGTGGCCATGGCCTGCTTCCTCAAGAGGAGGGGCGACCAGTTCTCCTGCCAGCCCCCGGCAGGGCCCTGTGGGTCCCCAGCCAAGTCTTCGCAGGGTGAGTGCACGAAAGTGGGGCCCTGGCTCTTCTCACTGCGTGGGTGACAAGGCGCGAGCCATTCTGCGGTCCTGTCACTGCCCCTGCTTCTAAATGGAGCAAATCTTCCTGGGAGAGGTCTGGGGCACTTCCCTGTAGTAATGGTTCTATCTTACGAGAAAAAAAGTTAAGCCATCTGGGGCAAGAAGGGTGGGTGTAGGGCGGGGACCCGGCTGGCAGGGCCTGGGGTTTCCGAGGACACAGGGCTCGCAGGACTGAGACCAGGAGCGGGGGACGAGGTCACGCTGGGGCTGTGGCTGGTTTGGGGCGCGGGCGGAGGTGAGAGCCACGGTTTGCCAGCCGGCCCCGCAGGAGCTCGGGCCGCGCAGGGGGCGCTTACGCCGGCCTGGGGCGGCCGAACCCAGCGGTCGCCTCAGCTCCCCGCCGGCGGGACTTCGGGAGCCCGGGCGGGGCGGGGGCGCGGGGCGGGGCGGGACTTCCGGAGCCCGGGCGGGGCGGGGCCGGGCCGACGCCCTCTCGTCTGCTTCAGTAGGTCACACGACGGAAGCCGGCAGCCTCGCGGGCTCGCCGCCCGAGCCAGTGGAGACGTGCAGCTTTTGCGTCCCCGAGCGCAGGGCGCCCACCCAGGAGAGCGCGGGCGCGCCCGGGACCTTCGGCCTCGCCGGGACCGTGGCCCTGCAGCCCTGCGCGAGCGCCTCCGACGGCTGCCTCGGCGTCGTGTGCGCGCCCGCCCAGGAGGGGGGCCCGGGCGCGTGATGGGGTGGTGGTGGGGGGAAAGGGAGAGAGGCGGGGAGAAAGACAGCGCGGGCGGAGAGGGAGAGAAGGGGACGGACGGAGGGAGAGCGGTGGACGGGTGGGCAGAGACACAGACAGTAGAGGGGGAGAGAGGCGCCGAAGGAGGAGGCCAGGTCACTCTGAATCCCAGTTCCCAGTGCAAACGGTAGGTCGCCATCACCTCACTACACATGGAGCACATGCAATAAAGCAGCCCCCAAGAACCCCTTTTCCTGTAAAATAAAACCTTTGAGGCTGCCCTTCCTCATTGGACTTTGGTCATGTCTGCGGACGAACCAAGACGGGCCTCCTGTCACCCTCCTGGTCTCAAGGCTCTGACACACGCTGCTACCTCGGCTCCGCTCAGAAGGAGCCACCATGCCGACCATCTCGCCAGGCTCCTGAGGAAGTTTGTGAACTTGGGTTGGGCAGTAAGCAGCAAAGTACAGCTTGGCCTTTCCTTCCGCCTTTCCCTGAAGAGGGAGAGCAGAAAGAGGCCACAGAATGGTGGGCAGGAAGGCCCCTGTGCAAACACTAGGGGAATGAGGTGCTTGACTTGTCTCCGTTTCTCTCACAGATGCCCTCCCTGCGTCTTCATGGCATGAAGCACAGGGTGTGTGCGCACGTGCCTGTGTGTGTGTGTGTTTCGGGCTGTGGAGTAGACAGGAAGGGAATTATTCACCCTGCACCACCCCAAATGATTTTGCATACCCTCACACACCAAAGAGCCACGTAGCACACTTTGGAAGGTGCAGACAAGACGCCTGGGGCACCGTCCGCGGATGAACAGGCTGCATTACTTCGCTGGGGTGCCTGCATGGTGTGTCACAGACTGGCTTCAACAACAGAAAGTCATTGTCTCACAGTCTGGAGGCCAGAAGTCCAAGATCAAGGTGTCAGCAGGGTGGGTTCTTTCTGAGCGTTGTGTGGGAAGGTCAGTTCCAGGCCTCTCCTTGGTGTGTCGGTGGCCGTCTTCTCCCTGCGTCTCTTCACCTCCTCTTCCCTCTCCGCGTGTCTGTCACAATTTCCCCTTGTTCTAAGGACATCAGTCACACCGGAGAAGGGCCCACCCTACTGACCTCATTTTAACTTACCTCTGTAAAGACCTTATCTCCAAATAAGGCCACATTCTGCTAGGGGTTAGGGCTTCAACATACGTCAGGGGGACAAATTCAACCTGTAACACAGGCCCTCCCGAGGCCACCTCTGCTTCATCTTTGTCTACAGGTGGGTTGGCATCTAAAATGTGTCTGCCCAACCCACTGCCAATATCATATTGAATGGGGAAAAATTGAAACCATTCCCACTTAGAACCGGAACCAGACAAGGCTGCCCACTATCT